TAAATGAATGATAACATAGAATCCTTCGCAGACCTCTACGCCTTCAATGATTTGGTGATTGGAGGTAGCTTGTGCAAGCACAAGGTGACATGGATTTCACCTGACGCTTACACTAAAGATCAAACACACTTCATCGTAATGCCGCCCAAGAAGGTGGGGACGCTGGACACAAAGTCAAGAAGGGTGCACCGCGGGCTCAGACCATTCATTATCTAGTCCAAGGAGACTCCAGTGTCCAGCTGAAAGCTTTCAGAGTAACTGCAGGAAAACCACAATTCAAGCTCAACACTCAGAAACTGAAAGACAAATCTACGAAAGAAACCTTTATTGCAGCCATTAGAGGAAAGTCAGAGACACTACGTGGCATCACTGAGGAAACCTGTGTGGAAAAGCACTGGAACTCTCTGAAAGTGATGTGTGAGGAAATGTGTACAGTCGTTTTAAGGAAACGAAGAGACAAGATAAGGAACGGCCAGGCAAGTTGAAGCTGATAGACAAGAGAGGGGTGGTGAAACAGAATATGAATCAATGCATAGATGGACAACAGGAGGAGAAGCTAAGTTCAGTGCATCTGGCACTGAATAAAGAAGAGGAGGGCTAGGAAAGAGAAAAGTTAATTCTACGACACACTGGAATAGGCTGAAGAAAGAGACTTCAGGACATTACATCAGACAACCAGGTCTCTATCCGGGAAGAGATCAACGCAGATGGAACCTGTGGAAGATGTCCAAGGGAACCTAATTGTGAAGGAGGAGAAGCAAATAAAACAATGGTCCGATCATTTGAGAGGACTCCTTAACCGACCATCACCTGTAAATAGCCCAGAAATACCACCAGCAGCACTCACAGAACTGCCTGCCAGTGAACACCAATACTCCAACAAAAACAGATGACTTGAATGCAACCACTCTACTAAAGACCGGGGAGGCCGCAGAGCCAGACGGAATTCCTCGGAAACCACTAAAATCCGACCCAAGGACCGCGGCGGATATACTCACGCCACTATTGCAAAAAGTCTGGAAGGAAGGGGAGGTACTTATTGATTGGAAGAAAGGCTACCTTGTCAAATAACCAAAGAAGAGCGACTTAGGCCTCTGAAAGAAATGGCGCGGAATTGTGCTCTTATCCACGCAAAGCAAAATATCAACTCGTATAATCCTGGAGAAACTGAGAGATGCACTGGATTCAGAAATTCACTCGGAACAAGCTGGATTCAGGTAAATCAAATCGTGTGCGGATCAGAATCGTGATTCTACACAACAGCATCAAATAGAGCAAAGAACGGCAGTCAAATCTCTAACTCAACTTCATCAACTTTGGAAAGGCCTTCGACAGTGTTGACCCCGAAGTGATTTGGAAACTACTTCAAGACCTTTATCGACCTCACTCAACAGCTATATAATGATGCCACATGGCAAGTGGTTCACAACAGAAAACTCAGTGAAGACAGGAGTAAGACAAGGCTGTCTGCCTACTATCATCGGTGATATTCCTGATTGTGGTGAACTGTATAATGTGGAAGACTGTAGGGGGCGAGGAGACAGAAATACCTTGGACCGATAATAAGACTCTAGAAGATCTGGATTTCGTGGACGATTTATGTCTCATATCACACAAACCCGAGAAATTATAGACGAAAACCGATAAGTTGGTAGAAGAAGCAGCAAATACAGGACTTCAAGTGGGCATAGAGAAGACGGAGGTGATGAAAATAACCAACTAAATACAACAACCAGCAGCAATCACCATCAACAGAAGAAATTCGAAAGAGGTAACTTCCTTCACCTATCTAGAAAGCATCGTATCAACCACATACAGAATGGATGATAATATCAAAACCAGCGTTGGAAAGGCAAGTCAGACCTTTACAACTCTGAAATCCGTGTGGAAATTTGCCACACTTCGCAAAAGGAAAAAAATTCCGATCTTCGACTGCAATGTTAAGCCAATTGGCTCGTCGCAAAAAACATTTTCAGCAGTTAGCAGGCTTTTACCAATAACTACCTTCGCTGTATATTGAAAGCATTGCCATGATATTTGGTTACAAATAGTGAAATAGCAGTTAAAAACATTTAATGTAATACAAAAGAGTCACGTGATCCAAGAGTCAATAATCAAATCAATTTTAATGTGTGTTTTCACATCACATTCTCTAATTTATTTGCGTGCGTTGTCTTACTTAATTTAGTTCATCATACAAATAGAACACTTAATTCAGAAAAGAATGCTAAGTGTTAGCGTGATATTTTGTTTACAGGAAAGTTTATAACCATTAGAATTCTTCAGTAACCAAAAAAAAACATTTACATTTTTAGAGGATTGGAAGTATTGCTCAGTGTACTTAAATTGTTTATTACATGAAAATTTGTTGGTGATTCAAAACGGATAAACACACAGATGACGTATATTAATACAGAATCAAATGACACTTATTAGCAGTTTTTGATATTAAAATATGAGTAATGCGCGTCGGTGGTTCATTGATAGAATACTCGGCATCCATGAAAACAGCCCGGATTCGGCTCACCGCCGACGCAATCTCAAAGCTTGCATAATTTACTAGTCAGTATATATACATATACATATATGCTACATTAGTTTATTGTCTGTGTACTTTTTCCAGTATGTGTGTCATATTTTATGATCAATGAATTTATTTATTTTATCATATATATATATATATATATATATATATATATATATATATATATATATATATATATATATATATATTTCAAAGCATATCTGTCCTATTTTTAGAGCTGAATACTAATTTGTTACCGATTGATTTGATCATAAGTTCCTTTTGTCAAGACAATGCTGAATTATATAGAACATTGTATTTTTAGAATATAAATATAAATCAGTGCTAGTGATTTGTCAATACGATGATAAGATTGTGAAATTAGTCATAATAATACTGATAATAATAACAAGGATTAAGAAAGATGTAGCAATTTTTGATAACAAGAATAATAATAAAAAGTGGCATGATTATACAAACAAATGTTCAGATAAAGGCAAAGTTGTTTATTTACTTCTCTTACAATCTGACTAGAGATATTTTTGGTTTTTATCTACTATGTCTATCTAAACATTTGTTTGTATAACCATGACACTTGTCATTGTTCTTCTTATCACAAATCGCTCCATTTCTCATCTTTATTATTAATAGAAACGTTAGCAGTAGTAGTATTATTATGACTATTCGCACAAATTGTAGGCACAACCATATCATCCTATTGATAAATCGCCATAATTGCCTTATATTTGTAAAGTTATGTATTTTAGAGTTAGATCTGATCAGAGCTAATTGATAACAATATTGTTCGTGTACATATGTTGTTCTAAATTCTACTGTATTTTTAGACTATTAACGTAGCTAGGCATGATATACATTGCTTTCGACTAAATATTATCTTTACAAGTTGATCACGGATTGATATCAATCAGAGAACCATTGAAAACTAGGGACTATTGGACAGCTGTTTCATCCTAGTTTAGGAATCACCGGCAGTACACACCCACTAGGTTCGAACTCCAGAGCCCCAAAAAATATTGGCTGCTAGTGCTCTGCAAAGACAGAAGTAGGACAAGAGTGCCTGATATCCCTACTGGCCTTCCTAACTGTAGGAGAATGAATCATGGAGTTAAACGAGGGAAGTGAGACGATGGGTGTATGTTGAACCAACTATAAGATCCTGGAAGATACAGTTTTGGCGGATGATTTATCTTCCGTGTCACATGCACTCAAAGATTTACAGGCGGAAACCAACAAGTTGACTGCAGAAGCACCAAAGGGAGGACTTCAGGTGTACATAGAGAAGACAGAAGTGATGAAGATACTTAGCCAACAACCATAACAGGGAGAAATCTTATATCGTCTCTTCCACTTACCTTGAGAATTTCGTTTCAACCATAGATGACGATGTCAAAAGCAAGATCAGGAAAGTACAAATGACCTTTGTTACTCTGAAATCAGTGTGGGAATCTGTTGTGCTCAGCAGCAGGGATAAGGTCCGTATTTTCAACACCAAAGACGAGTCAGTGCTTTCATTAATATAAGAACAGAACTTGGTTGAAGCATTTAAGTGACACCACCTACAAAGCAGGCCTTCGAGTGGGACTAGAATGGGAAGCGACCGGATGGACGTCTGATGGTGACATAGAGATTATGCGAAGAGGAAATGAAAGCTGATGTGCAGTCATGGAGCCGACTGAAAGTGGTGGTAGAGAACCGAGTGCAATAGAAGTGTGCCACTGAAATCCTGCGTCCCACTCAGTAAGAAAAAAACAAATAATATCAGCGAGAAACCACAGGTATACACTAACTTCAGTCACCTTTGGTGTCCGCAGTCTGGACGTTGCGGATGGAGATTACAGTGTTCCGGTGCGTGAAGTTTTCCTTTACACCTGGGAAACTTCACATCTACAAGTTGTCCAACCATCGCTGCCACCGATGAATTGTTATCATCACTAGTAAGCAATTCTGCGGTTTGATATCACCTGTTTAGACAGAGTAGAGATCATCTTTCAACCCTTGATGTTACCATATTACGACATATCCGACGAATGGCTTTCTAGTCGTTCACAGTCTGCCAGCCATTCGACTGGATAGAATGAGCAGAAGTGGTGGCCCTATGACGTAGCCTTGTTGTTTCAGGTTACCAAGACGCCACGGTTACCATACAAGGAATAATGGGACTCAGTGGCTGGAGATGTTAGCAATTAGGACGCAGAACCGAAACCAACGGTGAAAAAATATTACAATTTCTTCTCTTTTATAAATTAACACAAGATAATAAAAACTCTTGATAAACATACACTTTTGTTTTCATGATTTACAATATTCCTCTTTTCCTCATGTTGTTGTTTTGTTATCTGGTGTGACTTATGTCTTAGTGCCCAACATTGTATCAACTTTGTATTTAAAATGACAAACAACTTCTACATTCTAAGCAAGCATACCAGAAATCAACGACGATGAATTCAAAATAGTAGCAACATCCTCTTTTTATCTAAGCATACTTCTGAAATGTACCTTAGCTCTTCCAATCCAATGAAGAAAAACAGACAGATATTATTTTTTACAAGTAAAAAAAAATTCATTTCCAGCACATTAGTAGACATTCAAGTGAACCATCATAGAAGAATACTTACTGCAGAAAGGGTATACATAAATGTCGAACAAAAACAATCACAGTTTATGCTTATTTGTGTTTTCTTCATAATCCATAACTAACTACCGGACACACACACAGGTATATATATACCCGTCTGTTCGTCTTAACTGTAAGAAGGATTATGTTTACAGTGTATTGCATCCATATAGGTATAAAACTTAGGCACTGTGGTAGAGTATAACTCTATTATAGATAAGATTTTAATTTGATGAATCACAGTGTTGTACAGTAAAATTAACCGTATTAATATTACTGTACAACACTGTGTGATTTATCAAAATAAAATCTTATTCATAATGGAGTTATTGCACCCATACATTGCATGAAAACATATGTTGAATTTCATTTTGAAAATCTATGAAATAAATAAACAAAATGAGATTTCAATTTTTTATAGTAACAAAAGCAAGAAAAAAAATATGAAATTGAATGAATGTTAGAAAAAGACACTTCTATGAAGTAACAAAATCATTTTTGTTGATGTGCAGATTGCCAAAAAAGGCGAGAGAAATCAACACACGGATGTATAGGTTGTCTAGAGGAATCCAAGCAATACATGGAAAAACACGCCAAGATACGTAGAGAAGAATAAAGAATAACTGTTTATCAAGATACAAGTTCAAGGTTGAGTAGACGGTTGTCCAGGTAGATATTGTCCTTGGTATTCATTACCACCAGTGGTACCACCACCCATATTGTGAGGCATCAAAGGTATAGGAGTGTATGCTGGATTTGGAGGCATTGGCATCGGAGCGTAACCACCATAGTAAGAATACATTGGTGGGTAGGGAGCCATACCTAAAACACAGAAAAACAATCTACAGTAGCAGTTTGCTGAGACACTACAAATTTCTCATCTTCATTCACTTGTCTCGTATTTTAGTTCCTAAAACAGTGCCGTTTTCTGTCTGGTAATCTAAAAATTACTGAATTAAGAACTCAGTTTTCAACCGGTGGGTAACGGGGTCGATTCTTCCGTCCACCTACTTCAGCATAGGAAACTGGGCACTATCATCAGCCCTAATACTATAAGTGTGCCTGTAATTCTGGTGTATGAAAAATCTGTTCCCGGTAATTGAGCTCAGACAAGAACTATGCAAGCGTCTTGGATATTCAGAGGAAACGAGATATGTGAAAACTCACTGGCGTTATTTTTGATATACTTTCGCCTCATATGACTAAGAAATTCTCATGCTTAGTGGCAATAACAGAAACATATCTAGAACAAACGAAATACCATAGTTCATTATGAAACAGATTTTATTAGAACTAATGATGATTAAGCTAAGCCTAATGTTGTTGGAATCTCTCTTTTTTCACTTCAGTGTACAATATTGCTTCTTGAAGTTGCTATGAAAATGCTGAAGTCAGCACAAGGTACTTTTTTACCCACCTTTCTTCGTCGTCTGTTCAAATGGTGGAATGCTCGCCACCCACACATGTGGTCCAGCCAATGCACTTTTAAATTTCGCCTAGTAAGGTTTGGCATGAGGCTGGTAACTCCACCCTGTAAAAAACAACACCATCGCTATTGTGAATTCAAAAACTGGAAGCTCTAATGTTCCACTCGGAATGCAAGGAATGACAAAACGCCTGTCCCGGACGTCTGGAAAGTTCTACTACCCCTACGACAAATGGTAAGGAAGAAAGAGAGCTATAGAAACCAAGGTCGGAAGTTGTGTAGTTACAAGTGATATGATTATGAACAGTAAATTTCTGTTGAAACGCCATCCAGGAAATGACACCGTTTCATGTATGGTATATGCAACAAACAAATTGAAATGGAATAACATACTGCTACAGTGCGCAAGTTTTACACAGCTACTAGCATGACAAAAAGGTCATATACTGTCTCGTGAATTGAACTGCGCAATTAAAAGTGGCAGAAGTATAAGTCTTACCATATGGTGCTGGTGGAGCCATCATAGGATCTAAAAAACATTGCGAAAAAATAAATATATTTCTTTCAATTACAACGGCAATAGTATATACAAAAGACACACAAAATTAACAAATAGGTGAATAACCAAACTAGTTTGATGAAATACACTTATTCGTGTCCTAGTCGTCCAAAGATATTATGTACCAAAAAACTGACGCCTAGCTAACACTGGACATGAAAGTTATGTAGTGAAACAAGTGACCAGTAATTTATCTGGACTCAATTATATATATATATATATATATATATATATCTTCAACACTGACTTCAAATATGAAGTAAGCTCTTAAAATTGTATATGAGTGGACTGGCTGTCTCCCCTGGTGACCTTGAACGTGATTTTTCGACTCCCGTGATTGTCTCGCCTTCTCCGCCAATTACTTTGTCATTGATTATTTTGGTGACCTGATAGCTGACTTTTCCCCGGGGGTTTCCTCTTTTTTGTTGTTGGACAGAAGTGATTTTTGTCAGTGTGTCTGTTGACCGCAGATTCATGATTCTTTTGTCTAAAATTGTGCATTTTTCAATCGAATCCATAGCTGCCTGCCCGGATAGACATGGAAGAATGGATATTATGGATTTTAGCAGCCAGTTAATGCTCATGGATGAGAAGGCGAATACGACGTCCACACTTTGACCAATGTAATGTTTCTCAGTTACTGGAATTTAATCTTGTAGATAATGTCGATTTTGTCCTTCTTACCGTTGCGTTTTTTGGTTGAAGTAGTATAGATCAAAGTGATTTTGTTGATTCATGAGTGACATCTATTCCAGAGAGTTTCAATACTCTTGCAGGGAAGAAGCCAGCATTGAAGATGTCGACAACAATGAAAAGCTTCGCAAATTAACCACCCAGTTCAAAGAACAACAAATCATTCAATGGAACTATAAATATTCCCCATCATTTCTATATACACAAATCCAAAACTGTCATGATAAACATTTATGTAGAGTGAATATATCAGCTAGAGCGCTTAGTAAAGCGTGTAACTACTATCCTTTCGAAAATGTTTGCAAACCCAAGTTTACAAAGTACAGCATGAATGTTTCCACGGCATCTCACAATATTACCTTTTTCTTCATTGAAAATACTAGTTGGTGAAACAACACTCACACAAACTATTTATAGATTATGAAATACAAATGTGAACTGGAAAAGAGAAATATAAACCTCATGCTACAGGTCAAGCACATTTTGAATGTAATGAAGGAAAGATGAGACAGAAAGTCAGTTATCAGATAATTTACCAGCAAATAAGCAGTGTCGACTGAGACATAACAGACACTAAAAGAGAGGATCATCTGACACCAATAATCACACAATTACACACTAATTCATGAAGCATATCGCTTTAAAAGTCATACGAAAAACAACTTACATCCTTGAGGTGCCCATGCCTGTCCAGGCATATGATACTGTGCATTGACCATACCACCCACAGGTGTTGGCATTGGGACAGGTTGTGACGGGGGTGGGTTAACTTGATTATTATAACTCGGTTCAGGTCGGGCAGGAGGCACTGGATAGAAATTATCAAAATAAAACCAAAACCGTCAATTAGTTTAAGGGAACGGGTAGTTGCATAGCTTTAGAGAGAATCGCTACTGTACTGTGCAGACAACTGATTATTGTGAAGTTGGAAAGCGCATAATTACTAAAAGCGTCCGGTACTGAGACCAAGGTGATTTAAGCAGCGGATGATCATATCATCGGTTGTGGGTCGTGGTCACCAGATGTATATTACAATCTGTTCATAGTAAAGAGCTTAATCACTTCATACCACGTCAATGCTCTATAGCTACTTGGAGGACTCGTATACGTCGAATCAAATTTGTTAGTAAATTACATAAACCGTGATACAATTTACAAAAAAGATCAATCACTGGTGTGATTAAAACATAAAAAACAAAAGACAAAAACAAGAATAACTTTGAATTTACCGCACGGTTTTGGCAATGGCTGCTGATCGGAAACGCGAACTCGGCTTAAATTAGCTGTAATATCAGACATTAATTCGTTCTTTTCTGTAGTACGAGCAGCACAAAAATCTTCAATCTTCACATGTAGAAGTAAGTAAAGGAACGTATAAGGTTATGAGGGCAACAGGTTAATTTTTAATTTAATTAGTCATAAAAATTAATTGGTTTACAAAATTAATGAATGAATTTCAAAGAAAAAGTTATTACCCACCGCCATGTCTCACCAACATATGATAACTTTGCCGCTTCAGTTTAATATTCTGACATAATTAAAATCTCAGATTTCGGCTCCTACGGCCAGAAGGTTTCACAAGCGAGGTAACTGCGTAACCCAACTATCACAAGCAATCATTCACAAACACTGATTGTGTTAGGGGTTGACGAAGCCAGCTTGGTTGCTGAAAGTCTGGTGTGTTTGTTGAGTTTCAACTTCCCCCACCCCACATACACACACACTGTGATATAAAAATCAAGTGCATAAGTTAAAGTTATACCCCTACAGGGGAAATTACGTATTTTTGAAGTATACAGATATGAAACATAATAATGAGCTCACAATGCGCTCTCCAGAGCTTAAATAATCGTGATTAAAAAGCCTGCACAAAATTAACAATGCTAAGAATAGTTGAAACGAAATCCTAATGATCTTTTACATTCCTAAACCATACCATTGTCCACAGAATGGTAGTAGCCTTGATGAAAGTATTGTCCCAACAGGAGCTGAAAACAGTAATCAGTATTAGTCATCAATTCATTTTTCACAAGACACACAGGTGAACGGGTCACTAAGATGAGAAGTTTATATTATCCAGTGATAATTTTATTATATGTTGCAAGACAAATCGCAAGTCAACACGAGATGGTGAAATTAGACACTAGCAATGGATTTCAGTGTGCATGACTCTGAAATCATTTAGGCTAATGTAATCATAACTGGAAGGTCCTGGGTTCGAACCCCAGTGGGTGCGTACTGCCGATGATTCACAAACTAGGATGAAACAGCAGCTGTCCAGTAATCATAAAAACAATAACACTTATATTAATGGCTTTACTGTAAACAACATTTCTGGAACAGTATAAAAAGATACAGTATAACGATGGAGGTTAGTGGTAACTCAAAATTTGAGCAGGGTATCACGTACGTAACCCAGTGCAAGGTACTAATTACAGTAATCCGAGTAAGTTGGTTGATAAAATGTTTACCATGAAAATGGGAAGTGGAAGTTGTCAGATCTGTCATAAATTACTGAGTATCACTATCCAATATTTTTTACAAAGACATAAGCAACTTATGATTGCTTACCTTGGATTGTGTATTTAAACAGATTTCAGTGAGTTCAGCATAAAATTTCATAGCATCACGAACTGCTTCTTGAAGCGCTGAATATTCATCAGCGGCAAGATTAAGCATTGTCAGAAGACCTTTATTCTTTGAAGTACTACTGTCTGATCCACCATAAAACATATCTGCTTTCACTTGTAATTGATTTAGTAGATTGTCTTGTTTATTTAAATTTTCTCGAACAGATTCACGAACAGATGCCATTTTCTCGTTAAGCACATCGGAAGGCATATCTAAGTCGATTATCTCACCATGTTCACGATAGTGAGTTAGAAGCTTTTTGGCTGTAAAGCATTTAAAAAAGAGTAAATGTGGAGAGAGAAATTGTATGCAGCTGTAAGTGTACCACATATAGTAGGAAAAAAACTCGGAAAAGGAATGTCTCTTCGATCACTCACGTGTTTTCTTCTTAAGAAATACATTAAAGTTTTTTTTAAAAATAGCGAAATAATATACCAAAAGTGGATTAAGTTCTCTTACAACAGGTGTGTGGAATATTATAAATTGTTTGAAAAGGCAAAGCTGAGAACAGTTTTGGTTTAACTAACAGGTCAAAAAGCAGGTTGTGACATTAAGGTAAAGTACAGACTACAGTGGATAAAACATATGATTCCTTAACGCACAATTCAGTACATAATTAAGCAATCAACCTAGATATTGCTTTCCATTTGGTCTATCGTGCGTCGACAGTTCAATCGTATAATGCTTGCCAAGCATTCACGTGATTCGGGTCTGACTCCCCACCAACGCAGTCCTAAACCTTACCTGGAAAATATGGAAGGTTGGGCGTGCGCTTAGCAATTCCATCTTGTAAAAACAACGCTACTGAAACTTGAAAGCCGTATGCTCCTACCAGGAATACAAAGGAATGAAAACAGATATGGTATAAACAATAGATAGGATTAATTTCATAAATAAGATAATAATACTGTTGTGACGAAAAATAACTGCTTTCATAAATTTACAATACGAATTGTTATATGAACATACCAAAATCAGGTGGAAAATCGATTACTTTCAAGCGTTCCATTATTTCACTTCTTTCAGTTTTAACTACTTCTAATTTATCACATAACTGGTTTAACTCTGATCGTAACGCCTCATTATTACTACTGGCATTTGTTTCTGAGGAGTTAACCTCTGAGCGAACTGCAGCTATAAGTGCATCTTCTGGTTTGCTAAGTAATTCCAGATGATATTTATGCTTTTCAAATCGTTCTATAAGAGATGCATCAGTTTTTGTAGTCTAAAACAGAAGGAGAAAAAGACAGAACAAAAAATAAATACAAAGCTTCAAAGGACCTTATACTGGTATAACGATTTACTTAAATAGACTTGAAAGAATAATCTCAGAGATAGATATATACACTGGTATGGTACGCAGATTTTCCGTGTAACGTGGCTTTACTTATTTAAATGGTACAATAATAGGATCTACAACATTCCTCAGACAAGAGAATCTTTTCTTAGGACTCAGATGCTGTCTGGATGCACAGACAGTTGTTTTAAGGGAATAACTCTACTAGTTAGCCTTAAAGACTTTGCAAGACTGAACTATTCATAATAGGTGAATTGTGTTTAAGAAAAATGGGATTACATCGATCAAAACTGAACTTTTAGATGGCACGATTATGCGGGAGTGTTAGCACATGGTAAAAGTATCATAAAGAATTTCATTTCCATTCACCGCGTCAATGTTACATATTGTAAACAGCTGTTTAGATAACCTTGATTCGGCTGACGAAGACTATTGATTGATGTGAACAGTCCTGCACCACTCGGCTTGCTTTTTTACATGCTTCCCTGATGTTGGTCAACAGTATCAAGCTGATAACTGTAATCTGAATATCTCAGGTTTCTAGCTGTAACCGTGGTCAATTCCCACCATATAGAACTGTCCAACTTCTTAAATAACTACTTGGATTCCATACAAGTGGTTTTTCCACCATACTATTTAAACGGTAACACCCCATTGAGCTCCAAAAACTTTGTGAACAAAAGAAGGAATCAAACCTACTAATCTATTGGCTTAGAATTCAAGTACTTAAATAAATCCATCACAATCCTACTTTAAGAAGGCGACTTTCAGGCGCTTAACACCTTCGTATACTCAATGAAACAGTGATAAAATCCCGAACTAGATTCACGTGCTATAATCCAGAATGCAACAGTGGACAGTAAGGCGGGACCTGAATTCAGATGCTTCTTATGGCTTCTTGACACCTCCACTAACAAATAAAAGAAGGATAAAAGAAATTGAAACTGAAGAAGTTGATTTGGCACTTCAAATCATGACCAATGTTACGAAATAACATATTTATTTATAGACATCCGATTAACGAACTTGTGTATCACTTATTTATGGTGATTTCCTAGAACTGGATTAGAAACTACGATCCCATTTGAAAGGTTTGTAGATTTATTAGTAGTAAAAGTTCTACTGTAACAAGAGAAGGTAAGACACGGAAGCCAAAGGTATATTTGCATTGATCAAACCGCTGTTTATATATCTACAGTTTATATTCTTTAACCAATCACTGAGTGTGTGATTTTGGTTTACATTAAACGACATGAAATAGAATGTTCAAATATACATAGTATTCTGTTGCTAATGTAGTAATGAAATGTGGGAATAATATTCTGACTTTAGCAACAAACAGCATGCTCAAATAGATATATCGTATTCTTTTGCTAATGCAGTATTGAACTGTGGGAATATGTGAGAATAATATTCCGTTGGAACACATTGCCTGTATCACACCACCACACTACGTTTAGTAACCTATGCTGAAGCTTTTGTGCAAAGAAATTGTATTTTGCAATAAATAAATTGTATACATCATATGTTGTACCCAAGTGATTCACGGGTGGAATACTAGCCAACCACTCATGTGGTTCGGGTCCGATTCCCGGTCGATGTACCCTTAAACCTCGTCTAGCCAGTAGTAAGCGCGGAAGAGTTACGATTGAACATGAGGCTAGTAACCTCATCTTGTAAAAAACAATCCAAGCACTAGTGAAACTTCCAAGCTTAAAGCTTGAAGCCTTATTTTCTATTCGGAACTTAAAGGAATGGAAGAAAAACATCTCGCAGCGACAAAACAGCAGTCATTATTAATATAAGGATAAAACTTGGGCACTGTGGTAGAGTATAACTCCATTATGGATAAAATTTTATCCATAATGGAGTAAAAACAGCAATCACTTGTTTTCTTTTTTTCAACACAAAGAACAGCTGTGAAGAAATAACTACACTGTTGAACAATTCATTACTTACTTGTTCAAGTAAACTCAAACATTTCTGTATATCAGAACGCCATGCTAAAGTCAATTCACTTGACGGTTTCCGTGTCCAACGTTCACCATATTGTCCTCGTAAATTGTTATCGGATTTTTCTTCATCGTCTAATGATGCTTTTTCCTACAATAAAGGCAATAATATTAAACTGGTTTAATTAGACTGTGATAATAAAGTAGAAATCGAAATGACATCTGACTTCTATACAGTTGTTAAACGGTCAAACTCCTGAAATGTTTGTGAATGCAGAACAAGTGAAACTCTGACTTTACTATGATATGCGTATCATTCACGTAGTAATAGTTAGGAAACATAAAATATGACACCGTTTCCCTATAAAGAAGAATGGCTTGTTTCTGATTTTCTTTTCGGCCATGAGTATATATTCAAAAGAAAGTACTTCAATGAACTTTTAAGGTGTATCTCTCTTTCCTCGTGTTTTTCATTAAACTGCCAGGTGCACTGGTGAGCAGTATTATTCTGTTGAGTTCTGAATGGAACATATGGCTTTAGCAGAACAACTTCATTTCCCTCTGTTCTCTGAAGCAGTTTTTCACTGGATACACGATTACCCATAAGCTTGCATTACCACCTCACACAATCTCCCCCGTATCACCTTCATACACCAAACTCGTAATTTCGCCATTCGGGTTCTCTGTGCATTAGCCAATCGATCTCCTTTTTTCTGCATTGGTGAGTACAGGGATATCAATATACTGAAATATGTAACTAAAAGAAGACGACTAGCAAAACTACCGACTGTTTTAGATTAAATTATATTAAAAGGATTTGAGGCCTCATAGAAATGAAGGATTTTAAAGTTATGCATCATGCAGAAACCAATACAAAACTTTACTATTATTAGCCAAAAAACATTCGTAAAATCTTACAGCTGCTATAATCTCCTTATTACGTTGGACACATTCAGGTATGGACATCAGTTGTTCGTATAACTTATCCGCTCCACCATCTCGACGTATACAGGCAGCTTTAGATAAAAGTGTGTCGGGAATTATGCCTGATCCAACAACTTGTAATGCTGCTGGGAGGTTGTATGATGCCAGTATTCTGAAAATGCCGAAATCAAGAGTATACGTGCATTAAAAATACGAAAAGGAAGAGAAGAGACAAAAACAAAACTCTCAAATCGCATGATTTATAGAATCACTCAACAACATAGGAAAAAAAATAGTTTCGTTTGAAATTTATCAGAAGTGTATGTCGCGGAGGTCTGATGCCACTAAATCCAAATTCGTTAAGCTCCAGAGAGGTCAGTACTTTGTCGCTGAACCATAAACAAGTGGAATCATCCAAACGAAAGTAAACTATAAGCTATAAGACTAACTGAGTGGTATAGTGAAACGAATGAAAGCAACTCCATAACTGTACGAATGAAGCACATTTTATGATGGCAGCTAATGGTGCTATATGGTTGTCTAAAAGTCGGTATGCACAGCTGAAAACATAAACGTAACCGAATTCCACATATACCTAGGGAACGACTTACAGAACAAGCTGAAAACACTGAAGAAACCATTGATATCTGCAATGAAAGTGGATTATGAATGAACAATATTTGTTGATAGGAACACAATAGCAACGATGCATACCTTCAACCTATCAGTGAACGCTTTTTTATATCGAACATTAAATGTATGCATAACCTGAAGTTCATATAGATATTCACATGTAAAATGTCAAACACTAAATACTGGGGATATTACAACAATCGGATACACTTACTCATTCAATTTAGTAGAAGCTTCCCGTAGCCTACACACCTCTCCATCGACTAGAGATGCGCGAACGCCTTTAGCAGTGTTAAGAGCCTCTGTAACAGCGAATGGAAGTAGATCTACAAAGTAATCTCTTGTTGATCCTGATAGAGGGAAAGTAAGTGGAGACTTCTTAATAACTTCGACACCTTGAACAGGAGAAAGACCCGTTCTAGCTGGTATCTTCTCATGATATATATGATCATTATCTTTGATTGCAACTGATTCTTCATGCTTGAATTGTTCCACCAGGTTTTTACGCTGAAAATAACTGCTACGACTAACACTTTTGATCAATTCATAAGCCCACTACAAAATTGAAATTAAATGAAATACAAGTTTAAACGAAAACTTCTGCTTGAGCATTTGATGAATGTAAGTATTTCGCAGTTAACATAAGAGTGTCCTTGAAACTTCCTGTTGAACAACATAAACTTAGTTGGAATTTCAGAGGTTAGTTAGACGTATCGTAAACACACGCTTGTGTAAAACAGCTATTTATGAAAACAGACATTCGCTACGAATGTCTACAAAATATGACAGTACAAATCTAAGCTATTTATATATACAACCGACGCATATTTGTCAATACGATATTTCACACTTTGTAAAAGGATATGATAATGAATGCATTAACTGTATGTTCATCCTTCACTCAAATGCTTAAATATTTGTGTACACTGCATTTCAACATCTCCTGTATGAACTGATTATATATACAGTTTACATTGAAAAAAACTCCATTGCAAATACAAGTATGAGGAAACTTTCGTGACTGAATAGTCACAAACCAGAATATTTCCTCAATGCTAACTTTTTAAAAGGTTCTTGTTTTTAAATATTCAGAGTGGTAATGTAAACTTGGTGTGGATCTCTAGCGATAGCTCAACAAAAGACAGTATATGAAATAGTATCCTTTCAACTGTATATCTTATCCTGCTCCCTAAATTACGGAAACAGAGGAGTTAGTGGGCACAAAAGCACCAATGGTATAAGCCATGTTACTAAGTCATTTAAGCATTTGGGATAATAAATAAACTATACCTTCGACACATTTATTATGATGTACCTTAACAGCCCGAAAATATCCCTCATAATTTTAGCCACAAAAAGTGGATGACTGCAGTATTACTTCACTAAATTTTTCTGTAGAAAATAAGCACTAGTTTCCTTTGTAATATGATTTGTTTTTCATTGTTATGTTCTTTAGGAACATTTCTACAGTCACATAAATATAACTCCGACAAACATTCGATGTCTGGATTAACCTATTGATTTGTTCTTCATCAGTTGCGAGGGAGATGGAATACTGCCTGGACGCTCGAATCGATACAGGTAGTTTCAAAGGACTAATCTCCGAACCCCAAACTTGAAATGTGATCCAGAAGGCAGTGAACTGGCGTCATAAGCTGCGTTTCTACCATAGACAGACCTAAATATATCTTCTAGTGGTCCCCCAATTGAAAGCCTATTGAAAAAGGGAGCAGTTTGGACGGACTAATTATGTTTGTTAGCCGTAAGGCCATGATTGTAACAATCAATCAGATATTGGTTATTTATCTACGGTTTAGATTTCTGTTGATGTGTAAAGGATAATTTACTGTTGTCGCAGTTGTCTCAGTTAAATCTGACTTCTGTGTCTACTTCAATGTGCGGGAATATTTCGGAGTGGTCAGTTGACTACAGTGTCGTGACTGAAGGTTCATTGTAGACAAGTTAAACAACAACCAATAAAACACACACTCGGTTATAATAGTTCCCATAATTTCTGATAACCAAAACAGGTGCGTGAGATATTTGTTCTTTCGGATTCTGCAACCCATGTGCACCTTGGACTTCCATCCAAGGTTTTCCAGCTTCTCTAGGTCAACCTCTACGTACATCAGTTGCGTGACAACCAGTGAACATTAGCTAGACTTATACGACGCTATATGAATAGTGAGTAAAGCCTCTTGAGGCTTAGCAGAACGTTCTACTAAAACATTACTACGTTCCCGAGAGTTTCTTGACGCCCTTCGATCCAGTCTAACAGATAGCGAGTATAATAACCTGTGTAAAACTTTTCCGCATAGGATCGAACAGTGTTACGTTAGGAGTGTGAAGTATGGTGGTTACAAACTGCTTAGAAGATGGAAATGGCAGATGCACCTGGTAATATTCACTAGCCAGTCCAGTCCATCCGAGCCACCAACAGTGGAAAATGCGGTTAGAGAGGCATGCGAGACAGACGATACGACGATTAACAACCTAGAAAGATGTTTAGAACCACTCTGAAAAACATTTTAGCTGATCCAACAGAGTTTCTATCTAAAATGCCGTGTACTCGCTTAACCTTGATCCACCTAACAAAGTATAAGTCCGGAAGGAAATTCAAGTACTAAAACACCAAAAAAAAACTCAGCCCAGAAAATTCACTCTTGTCTCTTTTTGAAGGCGGTTATGAGACTCTAGCTCATGAATTAGCTAAATTGTTCGGGAGAGTATGGGAGAAATAAAAATATGCTATCAAATGTGGAATGAATCATGTAGATTTACTTTCTGATCCCAAGTATACAAATAATTTCGCCTTCCTATGGAACATACAAGTTATCTAAATCGCACTTAATGACTTGACGATCGGTGTCACACCGTATTGTTGCAAAACTGAGTTGTAGCGAGTTAAATGTTAGGAGTAATACATGAGTTCATGTATTTAGGTAGCTGTATGTGTTCGTGAATTTGCGACGAATGAGATCTCCAATTGTATAGTGAAAATCAGAGCCATCAACCACTTCTGGCATCGTTAGTATGGACGTCAAAGGCAGGTTTTACAACATTTCGGTACGTGCAGTGTCGCTGTACACTTGTGGAACTTGGTCTATCTAGGTTGAGGATGTGCGGCGCTTCAGCGTGTGTTTGATCATCGCTACCTTCATAGAATTACTTTTATCCGATGGCATTATTGCGGAAGTAATTCTGTTATCCAACGTGACCACAGATCATCTTCCAGGAAGTGATATCATCTTAGGAGACCGTCACTGATGTCTCAGATATATGCCATAAAAGTTATCCCAGAAGTCGTTATACCGTACAATGTTTGATAGTCCTGACAGTGGATGCCGAAAGCAGGAAAATCTTCAGCCCATGACCTAATGCAATCGAAGGATAGGTGTGTTAGGCTACCATATGTTGGTGCACCGCATCCGTGGTTCGAGACGTCACTAAGTACGGTTGAAAATTACAATCAATAGCAAACACTGCGATTTCCTCTTTATTTTTCTTTCTGAAAGCAACATGAAGTAATGAACTATCCTTTGAATGCTCTTGACAAGTAAGCTTGCCTGTTTTCAAAATGTTGCTCCTCAATCATACTACTTCTTTTCCATACAGTTTTATTTTCGTGTGGTTATATTGCACCAAATTTGTGTTTAGATGAATAAGTAACGAAATAATTAGAAGTCAAGTAAATTGTAAATAAAAATACACGGTACGTGAAGTCAGTGTAAAGATAATTAAACCAATTAACTAATATGATTGTGAATAGATGAATCAATTTTATTCTCTAAACACTGATATAAATAATACCAGAAAAGTGTACTTCCCACCAGCAGAACAAAATAATACACAACTCTTTTTCTATTGTGCGTCGGTGGCACAGCGGTAGAATACTCGCCAACAATGCAGGTAATTAGGGGTTCGATCCCCGGTCGACTCACTCCAGTAATTAGACTGGCAGAGAGGGAAGGTTGGGTATGAGGCTAGCAACCCCATCCCGTAAAAATAAACACCATTGCTACCGAAACTTCAAAGCTCTAGCTTGAAGCCCTATGTTCCAGTGGGAACGTAAAAGAATAAAAGAAATTTCTTCTATAACATTTAAAGTATAACTTATATGTATCAGAATAGCCAGAAAACCTTCTACATATGTTCATGACATAAACATCAGCAATAAACTGCGTTTGAAACATTGTTCAGTCAATATCACTGTATCATTCATTGTATGCCGGAATAAAAAATAAATTATTCTACTATAGACTTGTACTTTATCATAATGGCCAAATAGTATAATAACCTGAAAATCTCAGCATCTTAATGACACTCCTATAAACATCGAGCATTGAATCAAATACCAAGCACGTGGCACAGTATTTCGCAAATATAATATGAGCACACTAGTTGGTTTTAAATCACTAACGGTCAATATGTCATAACCAAATACTAAGTCCCCTTTCAAAGCTTTCCATTCTTATGGGACGAAAATTCATATAAGTATATAAAATTGAGTATTATTTTTCCTTCACGTTCCCCAGTGGAACATAGGGCTTCAAGCTAATGGCTCGAAGTTTCTGTAGCAGTGTTTATTTTACAGGATGGGGTTGCTAGCCTCATGCCCAACCTCTCCTCTTCACCAGCATTATTTCTGACTTAGCGAGGTAAAGGAGTGCGTCGGCTGGGGATCGAACCCCGGACCATGTGAATGGTTGGCGAGCGCCCCTACCGCTATGCCACCGACGCAAAAATTGAGCATACCCCCAGTTATCTGCTTACATATTTTACGGTTTTTATTGCAAGCGGATAAAAGCGATAAAACAAGTCCACGAGACATACATCAACTTACTGATAATCGAGCAAGCTGTTCGCCATATTGTTTGTTTTCTCCACAAGCCTTGGATTGATAATATTGGGTTAATGCCTCATATAAACCTTTTTTCATAGCTAACACCCCTGGCCAGTCCTAAGATAAATATAGCAAAAATAAAACCATATATTACCTTAGGGATAATATTTTTAGCACCACTTGAACAATTCGAAACGCATTCTTCATAAAGAGTAGTCAAAGTTGATGATATTCTTGCAAGAATGCCAGGCTTTTTCTCATCTGAAATTAAGAAATAAAATTACCAAACTGATAAATTATTACCTTTCTCAGCTTTGTAAAATACACATTCATAGGCCTGAGCAAACATAAGGTTACTGAAAAATGTCAGTGCTACTGAAGTCATGTCTGGAAGCGGGTCTTTCATGCCTGATGATGTATCTGAGGCCAAATAATCAAAAGTACTGGAAGCAATCTGCATAAAAGATAATAATAACATGATTTGTAAATAAACATACAAATATGATAAATAAAACAAATCTTTTTTAATGCTGACGTCATTTTATTTTTATTCCTCTGAGTTCACAGTGAAACATATGGTTTCAAGCCTAAGCTTTGAAGTTTCGGTAGCAATGGTTTCAATTTTACGAGTTGGAGTTGCTGGCCTCAACCCCAATGTTTGATCTTCGTCGAGCCTACTAACGACTTAGTGAGGTTTAGGAGTGTGTCGGCCGAGGGCCGAAACATAGAACACATGATTAGTTGGGGATAAAATCAAAAAACTCCAGTAGATGACAATGAAATAATGGCGTCCTTTGACATCACAGCATTATATACTTCAATTAGTTCAAAACTAGTCACAGAAACTATGCAAAAACTAGTCTATAGCGACGAGGACACAAAAACGCCATGTTCAACTTGAATGGAACTCATAGAATTATGTCTTAAAATATACTTTCAACTCAATAAACAAATATACGAATAGATAAAATGGATACCATTGGGATCGCTCATATCACGATTAATAGCTGAAGCCGTTATGCCAAGATTAGAATTAACAGCTCTACCAATATGTATATATATATATATATATATATATATATATATATATATCAAACAAAGCTGCTTAAGAAGAAAATGAGGTTGAGGTGAGTATTTAAATGATAGTACACTGAAAACTACTATCTAAATAAGTGACACAACAGTGATTTAGGATATCAAAACACTAGTGTACGACACAAACAGCAAAAACCTTGACTTGATTCTCTACATGTCAAATCAGTACAGAGACAGGGTAGTCTACGATAAATTGAAATGTTATTATCAACTCTGGTATAACGTCATACAAAAACATAAAAAGAATTTTAAGGAGATAAACATAGATGACATTATGATTCAGATGTTGTAGAGACACTAGGAGTGCATGGGTGCTAGTACCATCGCTTTTAATGTATGTTTGCCATCGATTGATTCCGACAATTTCACCCACATCACCTAGGAAGTCTGTAATTCCTTTAAAAACTTCATTTCACTATAGAGGGGCCTGATTTATTGTTAGTTAGATACATCTCAGTTAACCGGTACCAAACCGCGCGCTACTACTCAGCTGCCCGAGCTAAACTGGACGAAGTGAGATCCAAACTCGGGACCCATTGGACGAAAGTTGAGTGCTCAAGCCAATGAGTAATATGATACTGATTGCATTTATTACTTTTTATAACTGGAGGTTTCGAACCTGTTCATAAGTGATAGGAATTGCGTATGTCTGCAATGAAATACTTATTTATTCTAATTCAGTCAGTAGGAAGGAACTTAGAAAAAACCACGTTGTAGTCAAATAGACAGTACCTAAAACAAACAATTGTTGCTTTAAAATCCTTTTCAACTTAACAGAATACAGAGGAAAGTAAGGTAGTAGCAAGAACCCTAAAAGAAGACTTCAAGAAGCTACAACAGCTTTATTTAACAGATATGAAATTTTGAATGGTTTAACACGGCTAAATGAGTAAAATGCAAATAGCTCGGCTAAAATTGTTATACTTTTAATAAGGACACTCCAAACAACGTTGTAATAATATAAAGGGGGGATACTTGAAACTCTTGTCGATTGTTCTGCTGATAAATACAGATAACTTTCACATTTAAGCGCGACTAAAACTCCCTATACTCATTATTATCAAAAGTCATGACTCTACATTCGAGTTGTCAGCAACTTACAGGTGCCTATGTATAATTAGGTCACTGCATCCACTGAATTACAATTATTCGAATATTTCAACTAAAAAATAAATAACACGCTTAACACATAAGTGACCATAACTTCTGGACAGTGAAACGAGAGTATTCATGCAACAGAAAAGCTGGTGTTCAATTCACGGTCCACGTACTCCCAGATGTCGCCTAGTTTACTAACCAATAGAAAACTCAAAAAAGGAAGGTTAGGCGTGAGGTTAGCAGCCCCGCCCTGCAAAAAGAATCCCACCAGTTACCGAAGCTTCAGGCTTGTAAACCTATGTCCTATTTAGAACTCATGGAACGGAGAAAGAAAAGCTATGAAGAGAAATACCACTAGGTGTCTTTGTGAAATTTCGATCATATTCAACAACCAGTCACCTATTTTTCAAGTCTTTTCCTAACGTACTCAAATTAATTTATTTTAAACCATTTTCTCTGCATCAAATTAACCATTACGTAAATCGTATAACTAGGAGATCATTTCAGTCAACATTATTGGTATAACTGTTGGCGGTGGATGGCTGGTCAGTACTACAGAGGCTATGACGGTACAATTTTATTCACAAGAAACATAGCGCTCGAATCACTTTTTCAACATTTTGTGGAGATGTGGCTCACTGACTTAAGTATTCGGTTTCCGGTCATTAGGCTATGGATTCCAGTCCCACTTGACCTTCTTCAGCCTGAGCAACTGGGTAGTATCATTAGGTTTCAAACGATAAGTGAGACATGAAATACCTATTCAACGTAACTGTGTTCAAATAAACATTTAACAGGTTAGTCTAGACTAGATGAATAAAAATATCACTCTTAGGGCCCGAACCTTAAAAGACTTCAGAGCTTGTTGAAGTGAATTTTCACAATTGGGACGGCAAGACTCTCCGACTTGGCTGTGAGCTGCGCCATAACAGAAGAGGACATTTGCAGCTTCAAATCTCAGAGAGCTCTCTTCTGGAAGGAAAGGGTGTAATAAACAATGTGAAGGTTACTTTTGGTAGACTTCCCAGTTATATCACTCCACTTGAAATCGATTCGGGAACCAGCAGTCAAATGCAAACGCCCTTCAAGTTGGTCTAATGCGTCATGATACCTGTTGCAATAGATTCAAAAAAGAAACAATTATTAGACCAATATTACGACTGATACCGTTGTGTCTTTGGCTAGATGTTGCCAATTACATCGCCACATGCACTATATATATATATATATATATATATATATATATATAGGTAGATTGAGATATCGCATGGCGCCGCCAAACGCCTTATAGTTGTGTTAAGGAGTTAGTATCAATCAAATTCCTGAGTGGCATACAAATGACTGAGGGTATGATCTGAGGAGTTACCAAATATAGCTCAACTGAAATCAGTGATTATACTGTAGTTTAAATACAATCACTCTCATGAATGGACCTTATGAGAACGCTTAAGTTGGTCCCATTATTCCTCCAACCCCTTTCCCTCTTGTTATAGGCACTATTATATATAAGTGCTTACTGTTGTCCATATAGTAACCAGTTCGGATAACTGTTATTTAACTTCATATCTGTGCTGTAAGAAAACAAACTCGGCAGAATTATGTAAGCTTCAAGGAAAGTGTAAGTTCTTAAGATGATTGAGAATGCTTTTAGATCAACAGAATACTTTAAATATTGCGGTTCTATCACTAGATTTGTTGGTTCATGCACAATTATTTAGGAAATTATTGGTATAAGCTCTAAAAAGTAAATTAGGGTGGATAGGTAAATAGACAGCAGAACAGAACCTGATATTACTGAACAGCAGTCCAAGTATTCAAACTTTACATTAACAAGCTCATCTAGAGATAAATCTATAAAACACGGACACATTTGCACACAATTTCAGAAACACTATTTAGTCCTGTGGACGCATATGTCTTGTGATAGAATTCTCAATTAAAAGTAATATCAAGTGCTGGTATCAGAATCAGCCTATATTGATGTATACATTGCATTTCACAAGTATAAAGCCTGGTCTCAGAGATATGAGTAGGATGATAGAAACGAAAAGTGTAAAAAGCTGTTCTAGTTCATGGGCAACACAAAGTTCGGTGTTAGTGAAATGGTCCGTAGTAAAATTAAGCTTGTACATCAACGGCTCAACAGTTGAATGCTAGCCAACAACGCACTTATTGTGTTTGATTTCCGACCGATGCAATCTCATACCTTGCCCAGTTTATTAGCTGGTCGCAAGCGTGGAATTGGAAAGGTTGAGTGTGAGGTTAGGAACCATACTCCTTAAAAACAACACTATCGCTACTTAAACTTCAAGCCTTGAGCTTACAACCCTGTGTTCCATTAGGAACGCAAACGAGCGAAAATTTTAAGTCTATCAAGAACTTTCACAAATTCCTGAAATGTTAAGAGGAGCACTTCATAAAGCTTCTTAACTGACCAACAGGTCTGGTACGGCGCTTCATCATCCCTACATGTAACGAGACAGGAACTCCAACTAGCAAAATGCCAACCCAGACAGCCCACATTTCGTCTTTTCTGTAGATGTAAGAGTAGTTAGGAAAATGAATAAAATTCCAAGGTAAAAAGCAACTGAGATTCATCAATATCGACCTTCACATTGCGATACCGAAGAGACGTGACTTCATGGACACAGACATCATGAGATGCTAGGAATCAGAGAGTACTTGGCAAGGTGAACTCTCCGAACTGTTTATCATAGTCAGTGGCCAGTGTAAGGCCAGTACCACCAAGGACTCTCATGAAGTGCAAGACGATCTCGAGGACTGACAAGATTCAACTCAGGAGAAAAATTTACAATTGTATGCTGCTACGTACTCACAAACAACGCAGACCAAGGATAGGAATTCTGCTGACAATTGCAAGGAGTAACAGATGAGACCCAAGTCAGACAACATCAAAACTTCAATTGGTGGTATTAATACAGGTTCAGCTTACCACGGTGAAGAAATAAAAACCAGTGACCAAACTACAGCAGCCCAAAATAAAGCTACCTAATAAAGACCCTGACAAATCCCTATCGACCAATCAGATGCGTCACTAGTAGAAGAACGTAGATTTAAGAAATATTTACATATGGGTAATCCCATGATAAAAAGTAGTTATATATGATAAATCCTTGTACATGTTCCCAAAAAAACCTTTCAATTTTCTTTGGGAGTCCTAACAGTTAGCTTGATGCAGTTTATGTGAAAAATTCGTCGAAATAACTGAGGATCGTGTTTCTTGACTCATTCACCTCTTTGATTTTATTTGTAGGTGACTACAAACTTTCGATGGAATCTGTGTGAGTCTCATCGATAGGATTAACGAAATCTGCATTATTGACTACGTTGTGAATATAGCCCAGAAATCGCAGTTGGATGCACGTCCCCCCCCTTCCAATGATCCTGTTGTCTAAGTAGTACTTAAATACTAGATATGGATGAAATTTCCTAAGTAATTCGTGTACATCATCCATAATTCCCTTTATCCACCATGGACTCATCTCACTGGCTGCTCAAGGTCATCATTTAGAGGTTTCGTTTTGGGCTAAAATAGTTTGATCAACAAACCCTATTCTTCACTCAGGATGCAAAGTAACATTACGTTATTGTAAGCAATAATAATATATCGAAGGGGTAAGGAAAAAGATAATCAGTTGGGTTTTACTCAAAAATTAGCGGGTGTCTCGAGAAAATTCGGGGACTAGGCAGAAAAAATTAATTAAATACTCGATTTCGGGGAAATCTTAAGGATTTTCGGAAAATCTAGTGCTTGTTAAGAGAAACTTGCGGGAAATTTGAGGATTTTAGGGCTTTCAGGAGAAAATATGGAATCTCCACATAATTTTTACTTAGTGGAAATAAATCTCAGCAAATAGCTATAAGCTAGAGGCAGGAGTACAAAAAGTTAATCAGGTAAAAAATTATATGCATTTATATACTCACACTGCTATTTTTTCGACAACTGGATTATAGTTATCTCCTTTTACGCATACAGAATTTCTCAACGTCGCGAACTCTCCAAGAGAACTGCTGCAAGACTCTGCAACACTTGAACCATACTGCGTAGCTATTAATTGTTTCAAAGGGTTGAATAAGTCACAGGAACTCGACTTTTTAAGGGGTACGGTTAGGAAATTCATAATCCGCGGCTGGCTTTGAGAAATGCCGAGAAAACTACCAGGCCAAGGTCAAACCATTTGAAGGTTAACACTAGTCCACTAAGTCGAGAAATAGCTACTATTAAGTTAAAACCCTACTGCAGTGATTGCTGAGAAATAGGAGAAAGCTAATAAAAATAGCGGTCCAGGGGAACGGATGCCCCTGTGACCTCCAGATGCCCACAGACACCGAAGAAGTGAAACTGGGTTTGTAGGAGCGATGCTACCAGTAGTCGCCAGCATATATTTTGCTCTAGGTTCCAGCCGCGTTGGATACGAGTGGCAAGGCAGATCGACACTTGTGGAGTGCTGTTGGACTATTTGACTCACTGCCGCAATTGGTGGGAGTCGTGTTGTTTGTTGTAGTGCTTAACCATAACTAATCAGTGAAAGAGTCAAAAGTTTCAGGTATGGAACAACAAGAACAGTTCTGCTAAGTTTACAACAAAGATTGTATGTAACAAATCACACTAAAATAAAGCGCAAAAGTAAAATGTAGACGAGCTTGGCAAACGATTGCCCATAGTCTTTCATCTCCTTTTTGCACGTTTTACTCCATGTCACCCTAGGATAACCTGCTCGTCGTTTCGCATTGTGGTTCCACTCAAGGGCCTGTGTTATCAGTGTTACACGAATCCATTCCGCAGGGAGGTATCGTATAAATCGATCAATCAAACATTTTTGGCTCGTCCACGACCACCGTTGTATTTTTTCTTGAATGATACAGTTTCGTGTACGACGACACCTTTTCCGCCTAACAAGTAAGTAATTCTCTGCACTTTTTATGAGCTGAAATCTCTGCACAGCTGGTACCAACGAACTGTTGGCACGAGGTTATTTTCGGTTCCAGCAGCTGCGCCTCTCACAGGCTGTTGGAATTGAGGGTTTGAAGAAAATAGTCACCTAGATTTAACCTGAAATTCAGGTGAGACTTATTGAAGTATAGGATAACACATTTACCTGAATTGAATGGCAGTTACCAGTCATTGCTGCAGTTATGTAACTGATCCAGATCGTCTTGAGTATGTGTGAATCCCTCGTTCGGAGTAGAATAGAGGAAGCTGTATACAATCTTTAGGTCGTCGGCGAAGAGGCACAAGGTACCATGCTTGATTATGCTGCAGATGTCGTTAATGTAAATCACGAAAAGCAGTGACCCTAGTACACTACCCCGGATCACTCCACTTCGTATGGGTTTGGGTGGCGAGCAATTATTTGAGAATTTCACAACTTGGGAACGGTCATCAAAGAAAGAAGTGAGCCAGGATAACAAGGGTCTTGGAACCCGTACGACTTTAGCTTGAGCATTAGCCTCTTGTGTGGAACTTTATTAAAAGCTTTTTGAAATCAAAGAAGAGAGTTGTGACAAGCAAACCATGATCACGTTTACCAGTAACATCATTAGATTGGTCAAGTAGGCAGGGGGAGCATGATCGAATTTTCAAGAAGCCATGTTGTGCTGAAGAAAACACTTTGTGAAGGTGGAGGTTTGAACCAATATCTTGCCCTATAACTTTTACCATAACCTTGGAAACTACTGACGTGATATTGATGGGTCTGTAGTTTTCGATATTAGAAGTTGGTCCTAGTTTGTGTCTAGGAGTTATAAACGACAGCTTCCAGCACTCTGGGTAACTGCCATTATTTAAGGAAAGATTGAAAAACTTTAGGAGGATAATGGGTATGTCCTCACCACACCCCTCTTTTTCAGCAAGATGAATGGAATTTCATCAGGTCCGGCGTTATATGATGTGCGGAAGGATGCTGTAGCGGAGGAAATTTTTTGTGGGGTGAATGTTATATTACCCGAAAAGTGATTTAGCAGTGTCGGAACATCAAGACTACCTACTGAATCTTCGTTAGTAAAGTAGCTAAAAAAGTGGAAGCTGAATGACTCGCATATCTCCTGCGGGTTTTCGTAGTTTTTCTCCATCTAGTAATAAGTTAGGGCTACTTATTCTGTTGTTGTTAATTCGTGACTTAATTAGTTTTACTAATGCCTCTGTATTATCGGGTCATGAGTGGAGGATGTGTTCTAGTTTGATGGACTCAGATAATTGATTAGATTTGTCTGAGTCATAAGTTTGTTTGAGGGTGATGAGTGGTGAAAAGTCACTACTTCTGTAGGATAGTCTAGCATGCTTACGCAGTCGGTTTCGAATCTTCACGAGGATGAAGTCGGTGCTTTTAGGCCTCGTTTTCACCAGTCCTGCTGGAGCAATGAAGTCACGTACAAGTCGTAGGTTCTCATAGAGTAAGTCGCTTGCCTCTATAGCCGAGCTGCGTGTAAAGTATTGCTCCCAGTCTAGAGTGCGTAGGTATGGCTTTAGGTCATCCCACTTAGCGTGTCTGTAACTCCTGAGTAATACTTTATTGGCACTTATTGTTAAGCTCATTCTGGTGTAAATATTTAGTGTACCAAATACTATTCTGTGATTGCTGCCAGGAAACTCTTTACCTTCTCGAAGAGTAGTGGAGATGATACCATTAGTGAAAACTAGGTCTAAAATCTTAGACGGCCTGACAGGATGCTTTACATGTTGTTGCCAGTCTTTTGTTTCTATAATATTCAAAAATTAATTATACCACTCTGGTGAGCGACGTGGTTGCCAGACTACATCAGGCATATTTAAGTCCCCGCATATAACTTTAGCCTTGTGAGGTGGTGATGTGGCGTAAGCGAATGTGGTAGCAAGCTTCATATCACCTTCAACAGTTGAGCATGGGGGGAATAGATGCAACCTATAAGATAGGAATTGGAGTGAGACAGCCTTAGAATAGCCCAGACTGAGTCGTTATCTACGTTGAGCTCTAGGTAGAAGCACTGTGTAGACTTGAAGTCAGACCTGATATACAAGGCACACCCTCTCTCTGCCGTGGTTAATTTGTCCTGACGCGAAGTGGAAAATCAGGAGACCCCGCGTTCACGAAGATACGTGTATTTTTCAACCAGGAAAATTAATTGTCACACAAGAGTGTTAGTGATAATGTACGAAAGTGTGAATCAACAGTATAATACAGGATTATATAGAAAATAACTAACACGCTTGAACCAACAAGACTGATAGTGGTGTTTCTTATCACCACCGGATTCAGGTTGGTTGTAATGTCATTTAACAAAGGTCATGCATTGTTTATTTAGTTAATGGACAAACAAGATATATTGTGAATTATAATGAAATGACGATCCATTGACATTTAGCAAAATATATCAGACTGATAAGACAAAGCAGACATCATGTGACTACATATCACTAATATACGCGCAGACTTTAGCAGACTATCCGGATTGGTATCGTGAATTGGGTTACAAGGAAGCAGTAAAATTTTAATTGTAATTACTTTCTCACTGAATTCCTTAACAGAATTTCCTAGAGAAATAAGATCTAATTTGCCTTGTTTAGCGGTTGCGTATGTCTCTGAAAGCAAGTCGGGTACAGTGACCTCGGGAACATCGCTGGTGCTACAAGGAATGTCGAGTGATGTACGTATCTTCTTAGCTGAGTGACCCAAAGTATTCTCACGGATAGAAAGTACTCGTTTATTACATTGTGCCATTGTTGCACACTGATCAAAATGGTTTCAAGTAGCAGCTGAGAGAAAATAAAAACAGATACACTTACAAATTGTATAGTGAATACACAGACCAAGAACTGCTATAGGCACGGAGTAGAATTTTACTGTTTATAAATAAACAATAAATAGGCAAAAGTAATAAACTATGAAATGCAGATAACATAGAAACCAATTATCCTGCAAATTGATCCTGATATATAAACCACAAAATAATGAACTTCTCTATAGTTCCATTTGGTGTCAGCTTTTTCATTAGTTGTAAAAAGGGGGATGAGCCCTGCGAAAGTGTGAATATATCCGCGTTATGGCACCATAGCCAAACTACTAGTTAATGCGAAATAACCCATGCTCGTGGTTTCTATACACTTGTCCACTTTTTCGTCCTGGCACAGTCTCATGCAGCGCTCCACTTAACAACATCACACCACCAAAACTTTGTAAAAACCATGAAAAGTATACTCCGGCCCAACCGACTGGAAATACCAATCTTCGTAGACTGAAAACTCCCACGGTTACACCCGGAACAGCAGCGGAAGATGAAATTGTCGAAGCACCACTCGCATCCGCTAGCAAGTATGGCAACATTACAAAGAATAGCCAGACCCTGATGAAATCTAATGTAACCGACCCTACGAAGGAGGAAAGGAAGTCAAGGACCAAACCTAAGCCTGATGTCAGTCGATCCTTAGTGTACCAGTGTGCAGTTATAGTCTGCTTGAACAAAGCAACAGTGGTCTATTTTCTGATATAAATCAGGTCTGAACATCAATTCAGCAAAACTGAGGAATTTACAGGGGTGTTCAGGCACCTCAGATTAAGGGTGACAGGGCTCTGCCGAAGAGGCTGTGAGAATAACGTTGGCGGCTCAAATATTTGTTATCGACAGGAATTCCAGCATAAGAATGAGACATGATAATATATATTTTCCTATCTATGTAGGACACACCAGTGGTACAAGCATGGATAAGTATTATTTACATTACATGAATTTGATTTATAGTGAAATTACATGGGTTAACAGGCGAATGGCGAGGGAATCACAAGAACTGATACCTTTCACCTCTATGATCATACATGGTGTTCCGGAGCTGGAAACTGGCACTGCTTGTGTAAAACACATGCATGATGCCCAGAATTGGAGACGGCTGTCAACTCAGATGGCCCCTGGTGCTTCTGGAGCAATCCAGGTTTTCCGACAACCTCACCCCACTCATCTCAAAGTGATCAGCTTCTCAAGGCTAGTAAGCGTAGAATTCAATTCCCAGGAACAGCTGTCCCAAGTATTTCAGTGGTGGTACCAGACCAAGGGTAAATTGGGAGGACACCTCCGATGCTGCGAAAGCAGACCTCGAACAATAAAGAGGCAGCAAAATGAGGCCTTACTACGTCTCCAAGCCCCAGTGACACTAGAGCGATGCGACACTGAGAATGGTAGGCAGTGTAACCGAAGTGTCCTACTCGAATTCAAGGAAAAAGGCAGTAACGGGCACTGGGCTGTGACCAAATCACCATAGATGGAGACTTCATTGCCCCATCACTAAACCTTCGCTCGGGGCATGGTCAGGGAAAATTCGGTCGAAATCTATCGCAAACCATTAGAAATACAGGACTGACTGAGAATGGCATTAGACAGGGCCCTAGTGAAAAGTCATCGAAAATAGATTAAATTGTACCTAAGGACTAACTACTCATCGAAAAGTTCCAGATCATGTCTCCCTTTGGGAATGGTGACTATGCATTTGCAGGATTCGGTTCTGTTCTCCGTGAGCACTTGCAGTGGGACTATGTCTGTGCTACAACAGGGCTGACTATGCTGGAATGCGAGGGCTTTTGTCGGATGCAGAAAGGCCCACAGGATGGGCTGGGTTATCCGTGGATGAACACTGTGAAGTGGTAAAAGAGATTGTTCACACAACAATCTCTGATACCGTCCCTCTAGTCACAACACACTTGCAGAATTGGTCCGCATGGCTAGAGAGAGGTGCACATTGTATTCTGCAAGCAAAGCGGAAGGCTTGGTTTACGTGGCGAGTATCCAAGAGTCAGACCGACCACGACGCATACCTGGAATTCAGGAACCGGTGCATCGTGGAGGCCAATAATGACAGGAGGCCATTTCAGGCTAATGTTGCCAAAAACTCCTGGCGGACCCCGAACGTCTCTACCGATTCATGTCGAAGAGCAAATCAACCAACCAGAGGGCGTGCCTTAGTAGGTCCAAACGGTCAATACCTCACTAATCTGAAAATGGCCGCAATATTCAGTTTAGCCTTCACCAAACAGTAACACAGCAGTGTGGGCATCACTGGTACTGACCAAAATGGTGGCACTATTATTTCACCGGAGGGAAACCTAGTGGCTGCTACCCAAATAAACCCGGCAACAGCAATAGGGAAGCTACAGAGACTCAGATCTGGAAACTCCCCAGATTGTGACGACATCAGTCCATCTGTTCTGAAACAGTGCACCGAAGCTCTCGGTAAGCCTTTACGTGACTTGTTCCAACACTCGATCGATTTGGGGAAACTACCAAGGGAGTGGAGAACAGCCATCCTTTCTCCGATCTTCAAGGACGGAAGGGGCAAAACGACACCAGTCATAGACCAGTAGGCCTACTCCCAGCGGTATCGACCTAAAGAAGTGCAAAGTAGTGCAACTTCATTCCGGCAGGTCACAGTGTGTAAATTACTCCCTTGGTGGCCAGAACTTGAGTTGTGTGCCATCAGAACGCGATCTAGGTCTTATTCTAACAGTAAAGCTAGACACCAGTGGAAATTACACGAGGGACGTCGCCAAAGCTTACGCCACTTTACACTTTATGCATAGGCAGCTGGGAGTTCTTACTCCCGAACTATTCTCAAGGTTGTATAAGACATACGTGAGGCCACTCCTTGAGGTGAATAATATCATTGCTCCTCCGCTACTCAAAAGGGATGCTAACATTCTAGAAAGTGTCCAGAGACGAGTGAGAAAATGGGTGGTCGGACCCCGCAACAAACCATACGAAGAAAGACCGAAGAAATTAAGTCTTTCCACACTTAGTTACCGTAGTCATAGGGGAGACCTCATCACCGTCTATAAGATCTTAAATGACCATGTCCACCCTAATAAAAGCATCCTGCCATTAAGTGATTATAGGCTTCCACGAGGTAACCCGCTAAGGATAGCACACCAGAGACCAAAGACTCGAGTGCGTTCACATTTCTTCTCGCTTCGAGTTTGCCGTCTGTGGAACGCTTTACCGGCGGCCGTAACTACAGAGCCATCTGTGGAGACATTTAAGCGGAAGCTGGACAATCATGCAGAAATGCATGGTTTGTGTCTCAATGGCTTATCCTCTTAAAATTTGAAACCACACTGTCAATGGATAAGCATACAGACTAAATCTTCACGACCCGTTCTGTCTTCTCTCACCGTACCGATTACTCTATCTTTTTCTTAAGTCACCTTTATTATTTCACTTATCTCAACCTATATTATCTACACTACAACCTATTATTATTATTACTATTCTGCTTTTATGACTACACCGAATGACCAACGGGAGTTAGGGCAAACACCATTCACGGCAGCAACACAGTCTTAACATACTGCATACTACAAACCACATTTTGACCAATCCCCGCACCACTCCTCTTGGAGTCTACCAGAGCTAAAGCAGTCGAGTGGTGGGACTTAATACGAATAAGTTCACCGAAGATCTGGAACCTCTACCTTACAATCAAGAAGCGAGCTCAAAGAAATCACTGGTTTATACTAGCTCATTATCAGGATATTGGATATTGGATTTCTTGTTTCACCAATGCAAACTGTCGTTACAGTTAGTTTACAGAAATTATCCGCCTTATACAACGTAAGGTTGATGTCAACCAAGACATTGTCTAGTTACTGTAATGATGAGTCAGATAATGATGAAGAATCTGTAGATGACGAATTATACGATATAAAACAGTAGGTTGAATATTTTTTCTTCAGTTTTATTTGAATTTATCAAATACATTTGTATTGAACTGGTCAAATTAATCTAATAGCCATATGCATGTTTTACTTACCCGACCTCATGTCCACGAACTTTTGAAATAAAAGCTTATAAGATATTATATCGATATGATCATTCGAATAAAATTAATAAATTCATGAATGCCTCTTGATTCTCACCAAAGCTTACTATAATGCTGAATTATAAATCGCACTAATTTCGAAATAACTCTAACATTCTATAGTGAGTAAGTTGTGAATCTGTTCTGAAATGGATTCTTTAATGGCAGAGACTAGAACTCAGTGCTGGTTTTCAGCATGACTGGCACTAATTCAGCACCATGTTCTTTTACATGGTAGATCAGAACCTACTGGGTTTGGTTATCAGCGCCGTTCCATCCTTCACAGGATATATTAAGCACGGACTAGCGTTACTTCAGAACGAAAAGACTTAATTCAGCACCCAGCGCTCTTTCTAAGCATGACCAGCGTTATTTCAGAACATTTTGGGTAGATAAAATATTCAATTACCATAAAGTGGCATTATCGATGCATAGGTTAGAATAAGTTTTGAACTGTTGTAAGCTTGGGCAGATTCGGATATCTGAAGCGAGATTTTTTGTCTATGAATATCTATATTTAAAGGTAAATAATTCGGATCCGAATTCATATGATTAGGTGAGTTCGTAACAGTCCTGAGGTGCTGCTAGGGGAAGCAGGAACATTGGCCTTTGTAAAGGTCAATAAGTATACCTATTGCAACTTATTGTGTAAATAATGCTGTGTTATTATTTATTATTACAGGTATGATCTATGCACAGTTTTAAGTTATTATCTCATTTTCTGCACTGTAAGCATATTTCTACACCGTAGTCGTCATAATGACATACACGTAAAGTGTGTCTTTGTGGATTGTCCTCGTAGTAATTGGGAGACATTCTTACAACATATACGGGTGAAATACCAAGCCTGATATCCTGTTTGCAATGTTTTATAATGCATTTTTAATGTTTATGCTGTGATTTTGCATCTAAATTCTGACTGGTTCAAGTTCACTATGATTTTGCCTATGATACTTTAACTCCGCCTCGGATAAAAATGAGAATGAATGGTTGAATAATTGTTAAAATAGTTAGATTTTAGGCAAATCGTGAAAATAATAAAATAATAATCGAAATGGCGGAAATCCTGTTACATAACCAAAATTCGCCCATAGTCTTACTGTAGGCCATGGCCATTATTCACCCTTTTTCTACCATTTTTTCCGACTTCGTTGTGGGGAACTGTTTAAGTTTTATCTACACATCAAACAGGATCACAAGGAATGCCAACTTACTTTCTGTAGGGATATAGCAAAACCGTTTAGATATATCGAAAAATCATTTAAGCCTCATTCATGATAAAACAAGCAATTATTTGTTTATAGTTTGAAACAGTTTATTTACAAGCTGGCAAACCAATACTATCGCTGTGTATCTGTGAAGTAAGACACTGAAAAACGAGCAAAATTAGTTGAGGAAACCATGTGTTTAGAAGATACTTATCAATTACAGTTATAAATATCAAATTACATAACCGCATTATAAATAAGATTTTATTTCGATAAATCACACAATGCTATACAGTAATATTAACTGATGACGTTTCGAGCATAAACTATTGCTCATAATCATATCAAGTGCTCGAAACGTCATCAATTAATATTACTGTATAATACTGTGTGGTTTATGAGAATAAAATCTTATCTATAATAGAGTTATACTCTACCACAGTGCTCAAGTTTTATACTTATATTAACAACTTATATAACCTTTTTTCAGGAACTGTTTGTATGGTCTTCTCAAAAGAAGTATAATTATATGTTTAATAAGCCATAGTTTGTGAAATTATGTGATTTTTAGTTGCGTTACGCGACTTGAATCCATCATTCATCCTTAGAAGTAAATTTTACTAATGGTAACTATTGTGAATCCGACTTCCTTAGCAGGGAGCTGTAAAACTACTTGATTAATGAAACTTACATCAAATTATTTTATAGATTGAACAGGTTGCTATCCCAGAGGTATTCATGGCCCTCTGTATGGTGGAATTCATGTCCTTTTCTGACTTAAAAGCACTATGCATCATCAAATTCAGTGATGTTTAGAGGTCAACTTCAAGCCGTTCTGTCACAACACTTGTGTGCAAATTAAACTATAAAAATTACAACTGACGAACATTCCCTTGAAGTATTCATCATTTGAAAATGACTTCAGTATTTTAAACTTGTTTCCATTCAATATTGGAAAGCAGAATAACTTTTCAAAATTGAACTTTGCACAAAATTGAAGCAGTTCAAGTTTTTACATATCATAAAAGAAGACATAGAATTAAAAAAGAAGGGTATAAAAAACTATAACCAACGGAAATATGAAGTAAAAGCAACAATTACAATGAAAATATTAAGGTATAAGCGGGTCTGGGAGATTGCAAAGACTAGATATATTATAAAGTCATCAATTATAGGTTCGTAGTGTCTCGAGGAGCACAGCCAAACAGTCTCTACCTTCCTGTCCCACAAAGCAACTGTCAATGACTTCATAGATTGATGTTATTCTTATGTCAGCTAGTCTGACGAGCAAGGCGATGGCTTATTATGCGTAACACGTGCACTAGCTGTAACGTCTGTCCTAGTTTCATAATCTCATCGACTGACTTTCCCTCCTTACCTAACATCAATATTACTCATCATATTATACCACTTAACAGACAGAATGCAAATACATGTGCTCTCTTCATACCTTCCACTTTCAACGCACATTTCTCACGGCCGTAAAGTGGGGAGGAGTAAACTGCAACACAGTACACATGTGCTTTGGTAGATAGCCAAATATCACGCATACGCCAAAGATGATGCAAATTGCTAATTGCCAGACTAGTCTTTTGTGTCCGTGCTGAGATTTCGTCGGTAGCTGATCCATCACCATTGATACAACTCCATAGACAAAATGAAATGTTCAACATATTTTACCGTTCCACTTCTTTTCCTTAAGCTAAGAAGCAGTAAAGACCAGTCGTGCGGGGTTATTTTATACTTAACAAGGGTGAATCACACCTCAAACATACTAAAGTTTCTGCTCGAGGTGTTCGCATATTGGATTTTGCCGGCGTCTCCACCTAGAAAAACTACTTCGTCTTCATATTCTAAGATAGAGAGAATGTCCCCTTGTAACAAGTCATTCCCTTAACTTGCGGAGTCAATTAGTGTCACATCCATTACTGCATGTCGGATAAAATCAAGTAAGAATTGCGACACTGTGCAGCTCTTCCAGCTACTACTATTTGTAATCAATTCACATGACAAATGTAAATCAGCTGATATACGGCTGTATGAGTTGAATGGTGGAAAATCGTGCCTGTCACCATCGTTATTAGTGGTTACAGTTTTGAGTACTTTTCCATCAGTTTATTGACAGGAATAATTAACTCTTAGAGATGCTTGTATGAAGGGTATTCTAAAACATTGAGTACAATATTTAAAAGTAGTCTTACTGATTGTAATTTCTTGTCATATTTTTGCTGCTTGGAAAGGAATGCTGGAAATTGGAGACTTTGGATGTCCAGGAAAATGATAACATTAAATGTTATTAGAACTGTGGCTTTGGGGATATAAAGTCTTCCGTAACTCCCAACAGGGATATTATATCTGACTAAACCCAACTTGGTTGGTAGTGACTTCGATTTCGATGTAGTCATAAATGAAATCTTTATCTACCTTCTTACTGAAAACTACTGTATAGACTTTAAACGATAATTACTTTTCCTATCCCTTACTGGGCCAGTATTTTCTCCAAGCGTTCTCAAAAGTTGCACCAATTATTAAGATTATTCGTAGGTATCTGGAAGAGTAACACTCCATGTTCCTATATTACCACACTCATGAATTTGACGAAAGCAAAGCATAGACCGCAGCAGTTCAGAAGTGAAATCCCGGCCAATACTTACGGTGCGGTTTTATGCAAAGCAAAAGACTCTTTACCTCACATGTATTTGGTACTGCTAGGATAATCTCATTTTCCTCACCTGGAGCTATGAAAAATTTCTGTAAATGTGGGAATGCTACTTACTCATGAGTGAATCATATGTACATTTCGTAACTGGAACTACTTCAGAAGTTGGTGCTTTTTTCAGCATTACCCGCATTATTTCCTCAAAGAACAGGCGTTTTAGGCGCAAAAAGCATTTTTTTTTCCGCGTTTAGACGTACTGTCCTGCATTTATTGCCGCACTGTTAGAAAACTGGGCCCTTTGGATATGGTAAGATAAACATTCCAAGAAGTTCAGTGCTTACCATCAAAATTTACTCTCTTACAACAATAATTTCATATATACTTCAGTATGATGAATGTACATTGTTATTTACTTCACACTTAGTTTTCTAACCGAAGCACCGAGGGAGCACCATAGATCCATATACATTATTTACCGAGCCATTCAAATTTACAGTATCACTGGATTGTGCATTATCAATTATACGCTAGATATTGTTTCATTAAGAACACAATATTCAGCAGAGAGACTCTTTTCAACGAATTTATTATCCACCTGTACAATCGTATATATATGGTTTTTAAGAAATTATATCCGGTGAGGGAATTAGGTCAAAGGTGTGTATACATGATTTAATAATTGTAGTATGAAATGCAATAAAAATATTTGTGATTATAATCATAGTTTAATGTCAAGTGGCAAAATAATTAATGTCGTATATAGAATAATACATAAGGTGTATAGATTTTTTGGAAAGGGGTACAAAATTATAAGATTAGTAGACGAATATAAAATGTTACATAACATGGTGTGAAATTTGACAGGATAGAATTCAATAATGTAAAAAATAAAAATATAAAAATTAATAATTTGGGGTTTAAAATGTCAGGTGGGTCAAGTGGAAAAGATTCAGAGTGAGAATAGTAATAATAATAATGATAATA